TGAATCAGCAGAGTAAAAAACAAAAAAGTAAAAATTATTTCCTTTGTCTCCTTTTTAAACTCGTATTAATACTCTGAAAGGTATTTTTTATTTCTGATGTTTGTCATAGTCCCATTAAGTCATCATCTATACACACTATTTCTCCAAATATATACAAGAATGGGTAAAATAACAGACAAAAATGCCAGCGTTTACCCCCAAATGCACCAGGATTGCCCTCAGCTTTAATCCAGTGACTTCTGATCCTGTCAGGATATATTCTTTTCAAGAAACATCTGTACTTTTAAAAGTCACGCTGATGTCCTCACAGCCACTTTAACACATCAAGAACATTAGATTTTAAATGAACAAAGAAGGGAAACACTCGGCATTCATTAATTCAAACAGTATTGATGTCTCCAGTTAATGCTGAAACATCCAAAAGCATTTGTCTGCAATATCACAGTAATCAAGGACTGTTGCTAGGGTGAACCTCTTTTTAAAAGAAAAAAGTAAAAATAACTACCCCCCCAACTGACTCTCAGATTATGTAACATGCAAATTCAGTTTCACCTTCAAAATAGTGTCGTACAACATAAAGCCAAACAGAAAGCAAGAATCAGTTCATAAGACTGGAAAAGACTCCCAAGGACTCTATAAACAACCTTCCCTGAAATGAAAGCATATCAGAATTGCAATGATTTAATATAATCAATTGGGTTAGGAGATCCTTTCCTTAAAAAAAAAAAAAAGAGAAAATTAGTTCTATTTACAAATTCCTTTCATTAAAGGATGAAGAATTTCAGAGTCTGTATATGCCCTAAACAGCAGGAAGAAAATTAGCCTGCTAAAAAGTGTTAAAATTCTCCCAGAACTAATAGGCATTACTTTCTGTGATACAATTTCACATTCATCTTTCAGTATCTGGGCTTGTAAGACAAATTCAATACAATTCTGAAGCCCAAATAGTATTTTCATATATATTGAAGGAAGACATGAATAAATACCTTATTTAAAAATTTCGTTCACCTTTACTTTTTCAAATCAACACTTGAGGATGTTTATAGCATCATAACGTGAGTCTGATAAGCATACGGCATTAGAATATACCGTGTTTAATTTATGATCTCTTTAATTAAATTATCTAGGAAAATGAATATATTTATGTGGTAAAACAATCAGCATGTGACAGTCTGAATCTGTAAAAATACAATATGTAAAAGCAACTCTGAATGTGATTCAAGAGCAGTAGCATTCCCTGAAATAAAAAGCGGCCACCTGCAATACAGAGGAAAGTAAACAAGCCAGTAAAGCAGTGCTCCTACTTTTCAACTGCAGCAACTACGACTCCATCTTAAGCCTGTCATCATTCATCCCTACTGAATGAAGACTACCCAGCACAACAACCATTCTGTTTCCCCTAACACTGAAATTCAGTCACATTTCTAGACAGCAATTAATACCTGCCACAAAAGCAGGAATTTGGTACAGTGCTTACTGACATGCCTCCTTAACATTATTATGTTGTTCCATGAGTAACAGACTGACCCATGAGCCCAAAAATTCTACTAATTCCTTCATTTAAAAAACTGGTTCTTTTGGGGAATATATTGTGTTAATGCTGTCCACCCTCACTGCAAAACATCACTGGGGAAAAAAAGAATAAAATTATCTGGAGATATAGAAATTCTTTCATTTAACTAATACCTGACAAATGCAATAACATCATTACAAGAACAATGTAAAAATCGCCAATGAAGACTCATCTGTAGTAATCAGAATTCTATAAGGCTGCCTTCCATATGTTCATGATCAAGAAGAAACCTAGTAGTCCTTAATGTAGCTTCTAAATTAATCTTTCCCACCACTGAGAATTTATTATTAACTGAGGTCAAACGCTAGACACCACAAATATTTATATCTGACTCTGTAAAATGAAGTTTTATAAACAAAGAATAACACTCAATTATTACCAGAATATTCCTGGTAGCTACAATGACAAAATGCATTGCAAAGTACCCGTATTTACTCTTAGATGCCGAAAGGTCTGTAAATGAACTCAAGGCCATTGATGTAATAAATTCTACTGATAAAACCAGAAACAGTGAACTTTTAATATATGATGAATTTCAATTTGTAGATCTGTCCTATTTTCACAAACAGTATCTTTCAATTTCAATCATATTTCCCAGCCATTTAAAGTGACACGCTTGTGTTATGTGCAAAAGCAACCAGAGAGAAATGATGACACTGGCCACGCCAAAAATGCTGTGAAAAAAAGCAAAGCAACAGAAAAACATTTTTCTTATTTTTCTTCTGATATTTAAATAAGTGAAGTAATAAATAAAACCAAAACCCCAATCTATTCTTTAAGAAAAAGCATCGTTTATAGTGCTTTGTAAGGGTATTCATATAAGAACATATTTAGTTCTACAGCACCACTGAATAAACTCAAAGCAAATACTGTATATGAGCTTTCCTTTCTTGTATTAAGTAAAGATTAGTAATATTTCAGATATTCTCTTAGGCTGTATTAACAACAAGCCTCCTCCACTCCATGAATGTATAATTAAGGATCACCTCAGTGTAATTTTTTAACATAATGAAAAAGTGTACTCATGAGCAATGAACATCACCATTTTAACACTGACAACCACAAAACTGTTACATCAAACAAATACATTGTCTGCTCTGGCGATTCTTCATCAGTAAATTTCACCGTGGATTTCTTAAATTTTCAATAATTTAAAATCAAAGATAATACATTTCCACCTAAACAATTTATGCCATGTTAAAAACATTTCTGGTATTCTGATATTTCAGAGGTCTCTTTATCCATGGCATAGGTTAAGGAGAAACTACGATTGCTAATCTGCTGTAAAATTCTCAAAGTAAACAGACAAAAAAATTAATTGCAATGTTGATTTCTATCAATTCAGTTGTCTTCACTGTCACCTGTATTTTATAATAGGCAACATTTTCAGATGCCTCATTAGGTATGACTGACTTCCTTCTGCACCATGTTGATCTCTTGCAGACGTTAAGACTGTATTGTTCAATAAAATCTAAATTACACCAAATGGATTCATACACTGTCTTGAAAATACGTTCATAATAATGAATTTGATTTTCAGCATTCTATTTTTGACTCAGTATTCCTGAAGGGGAAAATATTTCAACATTTTCTGAATAAAACTCTTCCTAGTTTAAATAGAAAACGGTACAGCAAGAAGATACTTCTGAATTAATGCTCCTTTATAGGTAAAGGATAAACATAAACCATAAAAACGAGGCTTTCTCATCCCTCCACATGTCCCTTTACAGTAATTTCCCATGGTCGCAGCCGTAAGCCCTCTTTCTGCTGCCCTCTCCGATAAACCTGCCGGCCTGGCTGCCTCTCCCTTCCCATGCAGGTCTGATCTGCGAGGCTGCTGAATGCAGACACTGTACTGCACTGTGAATGGACAGCCAGGTATTTTATGAATGGAGCGGATCACGTGCTCCCAGCACCTCCCCGAGCTGATATTTCCCACATAACTGTGTCAACAAGCAGCGAACAGCACATATTAATACAGCAGGTCCTGGAGACCTTCCGCCGCCGGCCCCGGGCCGCAGGCCGGCCCTCGGCCCGGGTGCAGCCGCTTCGGGCGCTCCGCAGGGCAGGTTCCGCCGCAGGTCAGCGGCGGTGACAGCAATTCTTTTTCCTAATTTTTTTTTTTTTTTTTTTTTTTTTATGAATGGAGATTGTGGTATGCAAATGAGAGCGATTCACAAAAAAAGGAAACATGGCGGCGGCAGCTCCGGCTGCCGGCCCCGCGGGCGCAGCGGCGGCTCCCCCCGGCCCGGCTCCCCCGGCCCGTTCAGCGCCGCGGGCGGCAGCGCCCGAGCCCCGCGTCCCGCCGGGCTGCGCTCCCCGCGGGGCCCGGCCCGCGCCGCTCCCCGGGGACCCGAGCGCCGCGTTTGGGGAGCGCACGCGAAGGTGCGCAGGCTTTGCTCGGAAGAAGGCAGTGAAATGGGAAATCAATCTTTCCTGCCGGAGAAGCCCCGTCCGCACCCTGCCTGTCAGCTCGGCTGCTCCCCGGCCGCTCACCGCTACCTACAGATACAATGGGCGCAGCGCTCCCTCCCCACCGCCATGGCCGCGGCCGTCACCGCATCATTCATAAAATCAGCCCGAGCAAACACCGACATCGCAAATCGTAACGCTACGGCTCGGGGACCGCAGCAATCAACTTTAAACTTCCCGATCACAAGAAAAGTTTCAAAATACTTTATATTCCTGTTTCAACGCCATAAAAAACTCGGATGTTTTCTGACAAACATTTATCGCCTCCGACCCAATGTATTTCAACGACTGATTACATGCAGGGGAATACAGCCGCATACACACACAATCTCCTCTGGATTTCCTCCAAACCAGTCAAAGTAAAAATATTAAGAGATCCTTGAACTATCCTTTTCCTCTCTGGGGGACGGGGAGGGGGAAGGGAAAGGGGGAAAAGTCCCAAATGCTTATTAAAAGAAAAAAAAAAATAAAAGAAAGGGGAAAAAAAGGGCTTTAGGGTAGGTTTAAGCTGTATTTACACTGACTGACTCATCCAATTAAAATTCAGGAGCAGTTTCCTGCAGGATGAAGCTCCCACACACTAGTTTCCATGTGAAATATCTACAAGTAATAGGATATTATCAGAGGTAGTACGTGCCGACACCTCTCTGGCCATTTCAGACCCATTCTCCCCCTCCAAGATACCATCGTTACCTGCACCTTTTTCTACCGGGCTTTAACTAAACCAAGCTTTCTGGCCAGCGGCTCGTAGTCTTTCCAAACCAAGCTCCTTCACAAAGGGGGAGCTTCTGGGCTTCCATGTACGCGAGCAGAAATGCGCAGTCCGCGCAGGGGGAGGACAGCACACGTACGTGCGCGGGCAAAGGCCCCGCGGGGCGCGGAGCCGAAGGGACGCATCGAGCCCCATCCCCATTCCGATCCCGGGGCGGAGGGGAGAGCGAGCACCGCCACTTACTCGTTAGAAGTCGCCGTCTCTTCGCTCATTTTCTCCTCACCACGATCCGACAGGCAGACGGAGCAGCACCGACGCAGCCAGGGCGCAGCCAGAACTCACCAGAAACTTCACCATTGTTACCCCCCCCCGGTCTGCCGCCCCCGGCCAGGGCACGGGCCGTGCAGTGAGTAAGGGAGAGGGGGGAAGGAGTAGGAGAGCAGTCTTGATCCTGGAAACCCGAAATCCTGTTGTCCGGCGGTGCAGCGTATTTCCCCTGTCTTTGGAGACGATGATGATGGTGGTGATGATGAAGGTAGCGGTGCAAACAGAAGCAAAAACCACGGTTCTTCTGCTATTGAGCTGCTCCCAGTTAAAGGGGGACAGAGTTGTGGAGATAAGGAAAGACTCCCCGCCGCAAAGAGCTGCACAGCACCGTCCTCCCGCTGCAGCTCATCTCCCGCTGCAGCCGCCTTCGCTGCTGCCCTCCCTCCTCCTCCTCCTTCTCCTCCTCCTGCCGCTGCTGCTCGGCCGCCTCCCTCCCTGCCCGCCCGCCTCCCGCGCACAGCCGGGGCAGGCGGCGGCAGAAATTCCTCCAGACACCGGAGCCGCCACAGGCCGGGGCAGGCGGGGAGGGAAGGGGAAAAGGGGAGCAAAGAGGCTCGGCGAGGATCTCCCACCCCCTCCAAAGCGACGCCGAGCACTGCGGAGGGAGGACGCGCCGGCCCGAAGGAGAAGGCTGGCGACGGGGGGAGGGAGGCGTTTTAAACCAGCCTGGGGGTGGGAAGGGGGGGGACGGCGGAGAGCGAGGATGCGTCACGGCTGTTTGTGTGAGGAGAGGCGCGGGGAGGGAGGGGGAGCGGAGCTGCCAGGGCGAGAGAGAAGCCCTCGGCTGCAGGATGAGGGGGAGAGGAGGGAGAAAGCCCGCGGGGAAGTTCAGCGGCGGCGCTTCCTCCCCGGCAACAACTCCATTAGCGGCCGCCGCTGCCGCCGCCTCGGCTCCTCGCGGCCGCCCCCGCCTCCTCCTCACAGGAAAACTGGGCGGAAGCGTTGACTTCAGGCTCCTTCCGCCGCCACAGCTTGATCCAAAATAACCACGGGGGAAAGGGAGGAGGGAAGAGCGAGGGGAGGAAAGTAATCCCCTTGACCCGCGCCCGCCACCGGACGGGCTCGCGCCGCCGCCCTGCCCGCGGCGCGCGGCGCTGCCCGACGCTCGAGTTTCCTGAAAGTAGTTCCCTCCCCCTGGCGCTGCCTCACGCGCTTCCCGGGGAGCCGCCGCCGCCGCACACGCACGCACGGCGCCGCGGAGGGATACGCGGGCTGTCCGCTGCCGCGCTCCTTCCTGCTCCGAGGGCGCGGGGCCGCCGCTCGGGGCCCCGGCGCGCCGGGCGGTCCCTGCTCCGAGCGGGGCCGCGCAGACCCCCCGGGGCCGCCGCTACGGGCCGCGAAGGGCGTCCCGGGAGTGGTGGGAGGAAGGGGGACGCCGGTGGAGAAGGGCCCGGCTCGGGCGCCTGCAGCGGCTGGGGGCGCGGGGCAGGCGAGGCTGAGCGAAGGAGTCTCCGCCTGCGGGCTGGGCCCCCACTCTTTTGCTACTTTTTTAAGCCGGAGCGAGCGTAGCTGCAGAAATGTGTCTGTGTCTTGGGAGCGCGGGGGGCTTGGTGAAGCAGGGGCCCCTGCCCGATAGCCGCCGGGTCCCGCTGGGAGCGGCTGCCCTGGCGAGCCCGGGCTGCGCTGCTCCGAGCGCTGCCGTGTGAGCCCGGACCACCAGTGTGCTCTCCGGAGACACTCTGGAAAAGCGGGGCCCTTTTTGTAATTATTTCCGTAATTCCGTAACTGCGGTTCTAAGGGAGTGACGGCACGGGAGGGGTTGTGTAAGCTCGAGTTGTCCCTTTTTCTACATGCACGCTGAAATGCAAGCATTTGTAGTTGATTTAGGTAACGCAGTGAAGTCAAGAAGCAGCAGCCACCAAATCCCTTTTCAGGAACTTGCATGGTAAATGTGCTGCTTGATTTGATGAAAAAGTGGAGCAGAGCTGCAAACCCGGAGGACTCAAAAATCATGAGTCAGACCATCAAGTAAATTACGTTATAATAAAAGATTATATTGTGGTTTTGTCTGTCGGTTGGATTTTTATTTCTTCCTTCTTAATCTTTGTACGTATGCTTGCCAACTGATATTATTTCATTGTCCAAACTGCATGGAGAACCCAAGACATAGTGATGTTGCTGCTATAAGACATCACTTTCCCAATGCACATTCTATTATCCTAGGCTTCCTGTGTTCTTCCTCATTTTTTTCACAGCTGCTCTCTAAGAATCTTCTCTGTCAATTGTAATCCCATTTCGTTTTTTCTTGTAACTGTGAGATTTTTTTTTTCCCCCAGCTCTGGTGGTAGTATAGGAGTGGCAATGACCTGTTCTCTCTTACTGTTTGAAAAAGATGGGGCAATAATACTGTGTCTGATTCCTACACTACCGTTGCTTGACTTTTTCCCAAGGAAGTGAGACACAGAAACATGGGAAATCAGGAAAAGGAGTTTCACCATTTCAAGGGAATCTAGAGTGTCTCACATCATTGAAGGCTAGACTATAAACTTGCACGGTTTGTTTGAATGCCCAGAAGCAGGGTGGTATTGCGTTTGTGAAACGTATTTGTTAAGGAAATTGTTCCTTTTCACTTAGCATATAGAGTTTTAGTCAGTTTTTTATTTTGGGGAGTGGTTACTTAGAGCATTTTAAACAAAATATATTTTTATCTTACCTCGAAAGCAGGGAAAGGCATTTCTAGATAGTTTATGTTGCAGTGTTCCTTTGGATCAAAATTCCATGTTTCTATAAAAGGGTTCTACCATATACTTCATGGTACAATTACTGTAAACAGCTATTGTGCTTTTTCTGGTAAAGACACTAACATGTTTCAAGCAACACATATCTCAAACCTGCAGTATTAAAGTTTGCTTCTTTATCTAGGAGGCTTTGGGGGGAAATTTTCCAATTGTTTTGTAAGTTTTTTTTTTTTTCCAGAAGAGTACATTCAAAAATGGAACAGTTATTCATGGCACAACCTCATCCAGATACTAAAAATACATTACAAACCAAATTTTATATAATTTTACAATTCACATGAAAAGTGTTTAAAGCTCAGCTGTGGGTACAACATAATATTCTACTTAGCAGTAAGAATCCTTTCGGAGAACTTCCTGTCTTGTGACTGGAAAGATAATGTGACTTCCTGCTAATTTATTTCCAAATTTCTTTTGGCTTTAAAGTTGAAATATTTAACATTCTGTAAGTTGTTGTTTTGATTATGATAAGTCAATTAACATGATTCTGTACAACAATGCTTAAGAATAGTTTGGTTTGTCAGACAGTGGTATAGCTCTAGTCACTGCATTTGAGGAATGAGACAAAAATGCTGACGATCATTAATCTAGATGTGTGTTTTTTATTCTAATTCCTTAAATATATCTAATGTAAAAATTATTTTCATAGTGGCAATTCAATAAAATTAACTGTTTTTTAATATACCACAAATAATTTCACATTATTTCACTCTCCATTTTCATTAACATCTTTGTTAAGAATAAAATGTGTATTCAGTTGTCAACTGAAAAATATGAGACTCATCCTGGGCTTCTGTTTTATAGCGTGGAGGTAGAAAGGGGAGAAGGACGCTCTGCTTCTTCACTTGTGGAAGGGCCTTTGGCTTCTGCAGGCAATCTCATGCAGCAGTATGAAGTGAAGCAGAGGTCTTGCAAGCAATTTCTCTCCCTTTACCTGAATATTCTAAAGAGAACAGAAAATCTGCTCTGATTTATGTCTCGATTCTGAAATCCTGTTTGTTCATGTTCCTGTGTCCAGGTTAGAAAGGTTGAAGACCACAGTCCTGGAGTACTGGTATTATTTTGCTGAGCAGCAGTTGGTTTCAGGGTTTTCTAGGTTTGATTCTTTAGAGCAGAATTAAGTGAACAGATGTTTTCAATGCAAATGGTTTATTTTGGTAGTACCTGTAAGTCCTGCCTGTGCAAACAAGAAGCAAGTTAGGCATGTGTGTCACCATTCAGAAACTTACTATTTTGTATCCCAATCACCGTGTTTTGTAGCCTTGTCTTTGTAAATTCTGTGCCTCTTTGCTTTCTGTTGTTAGAATCTGGACAATTTAAGTGTTCTGAGTTGAAATCTGGCCACCTTCTCTATGGCTTGGAAAAGTTACCTCTATATAGGAAAACTTCTGTTACTCTCTTCACTAGAGCTGCTGAAATGTTCTCACTTTTTGGTCTGGGTACAGATGTGACACCTTATCTAGAGACAAGATATCGTCAGTGTACAATAGGGCAGGTGAGGTTAAAAATAATTATTTTTTTACCTTACATTTGATGTTTTGCTATATCAAATGCCTCCTAAGTTGCACTTTATGAAAACTAATTTATATGTCAATGCTGTTGCTCTGCTGTAATATTTTGACAGCTGTGGAACTTTTGGAATGAGAACTGGGGAGGCAGCCATTAGTGCTAAAGCACAATGAAGGTAATGTATGTTATTAGGAAGCCATATAACATACAGGAAGAAATCTGTGGAAATGTAGTGGGCTGACCCTGGCTGGACACTGGGCACCCACCAGAGTGTCCCTGTCAATCTCCTCTGCAAGTGGACTGGGGAGAGAAAACATAACAAAAGGTTTGTGGATTGAGATAAGGTCCGGCAGACACATCACTCACTAAATACCATCATGGGCATCATGTACAGACGTGTACAAAACATACACATTTGGCCTTCTTATTCACCATTCCTTGAACCAGTTCCACCTGGTGACACCTCTGATGAATGAGATGGTCAGGAGTGGCCATGGAGTGTAGCAGGACTCCGAATCTGTGGCAGAAGAATTATATATAGATGTATTATGGAGTTTAGGTTGCATAATTCTGATCTGCATGGCATTCACATCTTAAAATCCGTAATAGGATCAGTGGAAGTTAAGTAATGCAATCCAGATTAGTCAGTCATTACAGAACTTAAGTGACCAATTCTTAGCTCTAAGTCCTAAATATGAAAGTTTTGAACTCTGCCTCTACGAAACAGAGTGATGTTTATGTTTGTATCCAGATGCTAATGATGCATTTACAAAAATTGAAGGTCAGATGGATGTTCAGCCATTTTGAGGAAAATTATTAGAGGTCATTTGGGAATTTCTTCTGCAGTAGCTTTCATTTGTAATCATAGTGTAAGTTAAAACACTGGGTGGTCATTACACACATCTTAATAAGGATTTAGCTAAACCGAGCTGATTAAATCTATATTAGTATATCAGCAAAGTCAGATTTTGTTAAGTTCTAAGCAGGAATCCTGTTAAGTTCTGTGCAGGAATCTTGCATATGGGATAAAAAAATATTTTGTTCTACTTGATGCTACTGGCTCAAAAATTTTTTTTCCAGCAAGATACAAAACAATGTTAGAGTCAAAGCTTTATCAATTCTAATGTATTTCAGGTGGATCCAACTT